GCGGGAAACCGGAGCCGGGGGCCCGGGTCTGCGAGTGGGGCTGAGAGCTGGGCCAGCAGCGCCCCTGGCTGCCCCCCGGCCGTGCCCACCCTCACCGGGCCCACGCTCAGGGCTCCGTGCGCTGCCTGCCACATCCTCTGAGCCTCTGTGCCAGGGGGCATGTGCCCACACCCTCCCAGAGAGACAGCTATTGAAGGGGGGCCAGGCATCAGGCTGGGTGGACAGGGACTGGGGGGTGGATGGACGGACGGACGGAGACACTGTAGGGTTATGGGGTGGGTAGCGTACGCTGGATGGTGCAATGGAGCGGACAGATGGATCGATACAGAACGGGGACAGAAGGATGTACGGATGGACAGATACCACGGAGGGGACAGACGGATGGATCCTCTGGGCAGGTTGGTGGACGGACAGAGAGGGAGGAGGAGGGGTGGCTAGACAGACGGACGGGCCAGGCGAGTGGGCTGGAGAATGTACCTGCTGCATTCCCCCCCCCAGCAGCCATGAAATCCACGAGTCCTGCACATTTGCTCTGGTATTTAACCTGCCGAAGCAGGCCTGAGCATCCTCCCCCTTCATTCTGCACCCGTCGGACCTCCCCCGACCCGCAGAGCTGCCCTGCACACCCTGCAGCTGGAGAACGGCCACTCCCACCCTGCCGGTCCGGATCCGAGGGCTCCCCGCTCCTACCCGGGTGCAGGTGCCCTGGTCCTGCTGAGAACAGGGTGGCTGCTCCTCCTCTTGGGCTCCTGCTAGTGCCATCCTGAGCCCGGTGTCCAGCGGGGCTGGCTCATCTGCGTCAGTTTTGCTGAGGCTGTAGGGTTTAAACGTGCTGAAGAGGCAGGACCCTGGATTGTCCCAGACATCGGCCTCTGAGGATGCAAACAAACAGGCTCAGTCCTCCGGCAGGGCCTTTCAGAGTGTCAGGCGAGTGCTCTATCCACTAGGTCACACTGCCTCCTAGCTCCCAGGCCTTCTCTGGCCAGGTGTTGGGGGCTGAACTTTGACCCTCCAGCCTGGGAGGAAATCCTGGCCCATCGAGGACAAGGGGAGCCTTTCTTGAGTCAGGATTTTACCCTTACTGGGCCAAGCCAGGCTTTAGAGACCACTCTCTCAGCTGGAAAATGCCCTGGGAACAAGGCAGCCTGGGGCCAGCCCTGGTCCATTAGCCCTGCCTCGCTGCACTTGGGCCAGATGCTGGTTGGAGTGTCTTTGTTCTGCTCCTATAAGGAGGGGTCAGAGGCTGGCTGAGGACAGTGGCTAACCCCAGCCCTTGCCGCCGGAAAGGGGAAGGATGTGGAGTTTGTTTCAGGCTTTGGATAGCCTAACCAGGACGCTGTGACTCCAGAAGAGGTTGAACGTGTCACCTTCTGAGTCCAACCCGCAGCTGGAACGGGTTGGGGAAACTGAAGCAGGACGGCTGCAACGCCCTACTCTGCAACAAGGGGGTGCTCTGAGATGGGCCTTTAGCACCAGTCTCAAGATAGTGGGTGTTTTTCACCAAGCTCCGGCTCCTGGAGTCCCGTGATGGGGTGAGACGCCCAGTTCTCCCTGTCTCTTTGTTAAAATACAGTTCGAGCGTGGTTTTTTTTTTTTTTTTCAAAATATGAGTCCTGGTGTAATCCAAAAGGCCCAGAAATTAGAAGGCAAATACAAACAGAAATGTTGAGAATCCTTCAAAAAGGAATACGGAATAAGAGAAAATATCTTATTGCTCCTGTATAAATCCCTGGTATGCCCCCGCCCCTAAATACAATGAACAATTTTGATTGCTCTAACCATGTTAGTTATATGATCAAGAACACATATTCCTGCTCATCCAGAAATATAATTGATGCCATCATGTGCCAACAGTGTCCGTCTGCGATATATATTGGACAGACTTCTCAAGACACTTTGCCAAAGAATTAATGCCCACAAATCAGACATCAGACATCTTCACAAGGAAAAACCAGTTGCTTTTCATTTCAACCTAGCTGGACATAGTCTTAACGGCCGTACTACATGAATCTTACTTCAAAGACACTTTAACACCAGATTACAGAGAGAAACTTCAGAACTTTCAAGCATGCTCAAATGTGACACTTTACGCATGGGCCTTAACAAAGATGCTAATTACCTTACTCATTACAAAGATAGCTTCCCCACTTATCAGCCTCTGATTAGCCATTCATTGACTCATAAATAGCTATTCCTTCCCTCTCTCCCTCTCCCTCACCCCACCTTCTGTACTAAATCTGATTTGTCAGTTTAATAATGTGTTCACTTTTTTCATTGTACTACTTTGGTGTATATGGTCATGCCAATTCTGTTCCACTATTTGATCTGAGGAAGTGGGTCTGGCCCATGAAAGCTCATCGCCTATTAAACCATCTTGTTGTCTTTAAAGTGCTACATAGTTTTTCCATCTCAAAAAAGATATCTTGACACTAGAAAAAATTCAGAAAAGGGAAATGAAAATGAGTCGGGGTTTGGAATGGGTGTCATATGAAGAGAGATTAAAAAGAGTGGGACTTTTCTGCTTAGAAAAGAGGAGACAAAGGGGGGATAGGAGAGAGGTCTATCAAATCATGACAGGTCTGGAGAAAGCGAATAAGGAAAAGTTATTTAATTGCTCCCAGAGCTCAAGAACAAGGAGTCGCCCAATGAAAATAACAGGCAGCAGGTTTAAAACAAACAAACGGAAGTCTTTTTTCATGCGACGCACAGTCAACCTGTGGAACTCCTCGCCAGAGGATGTTGAGAAGAGCAGAACTTTAACATGATTCAAAAAAGAGCTAGATAAATTCATGGAGGTTAAGTTCATCAATGGCTGTTAGCCAGGATGGGCAGGGAGGGGGTCTGGGAATGGGTGACAGAAGAGGAATCACTTGATGATTCCCTGTTCCGTTCATTCCCTCTGGGGCACCTGGTACTGGCCGCTGTTGGCAGACAGGACTCTGGGCTAGATGGACCTTTGGTCTGACCAAGTATGACCGTTCTGATGTTCTTACAAAGCTTCCAGAACGCCTTATAGATTTCAACATTTCACGACTCACTCTCATGATGTTCTGGGCTCTGACTCACAATTTTTGGACTCTTGGCGTTAGCCAAGTCACATCCTGCGGGCATCCCTTGGCACTTGCTTTCCCTGGGCGTCACGATGCCTACGGGATGGGGGAGGGGAAATGAACCCCTTGGGTGCAGCGGGCTGCCAAATGCAGCTGCTTTGCTCCAAGACGTGAGGAAAGGTGAACAGACCATTGTGCATCTCTGCAATAGCAAGATACTGCAAGGCATATGCAGCTGCTTTGCTGAGGATGCAATAAGACAGGTGCTGTGCTGCGGCTGATGCTAAATCCACGTGTCACCTCAGCCACTCACTCCTCTGAGCCTTTGTTCTAGACGGCACTAGGAGCACAGCCCATAGCGGCAAACAGGATGCTTTCCCTTACAAAACGTACTGGGGGGTTGCTTCTTAACTTTGCCAAACTCCCAGAAGTTTCCCAGGCTGGGTATTTTCCTCCGGCTGAACTTCTGGGGAAAGTTTCAGTGACAAACATGCATCTGTTTCTTAGAAAGAGGGAAGGGAAATATTTGTCATTCCAGCCAGGCTGAAAAAAATTCTTCCTATCCCATATGTGATTTTGCAATCAAAGACTTCATCCTAATTTCGGCCCTTTGTGCCTCTGAAGTCAGTTTGCACAGGGAGCCTTAACTGGGCGCGTAATTTTTCCAGGTTGTTTGATTTTTGCGACCTTAATGTTCTTGTAATGACAACGAGGAGTCCTGCAGCACCTTAGGGTACGTCGACACTACAGAGTTTTTTTGGAAAAACCTCAATTCCGTCCACACTGCAATCGCATTCTTCCCAAAGAAAATCAAAAGAACAGAGGGATTTTTTCGGCACTGGTAATCCTCATTGTACGAGGAAGAAGCCTTTTTTCCGAAAGAGCTCTTTCAGAAAAAGGCGTGTGTGGACGGGGAAGAGGGAGTTCTTTCGAAAGAAGAGGAAAGAGGAAAAAGCACAGGTGCCCTGGTGGCCATTCCACCCACAGTAATCACAGCTGAAATGCGAGAGAGCGTCCATGCAGTGTCAAAAAACCAGATCGCTTTTCCGATGAGCTTTTGCTGTGTGGACGCTCTCTTTTGGAAGAAATTTTTCCGGAAGATCTCTTACGGAAAAGCTTCTTCCGAAAGAAATCTGCAGTCTAGACATCACCTTAGAAACTGACAAAAATGGGTAGAGTAAGGAGAACTTTTGTGAGCAAAAGCCACTTCTTCAGATGAACTGAAGAGGAATAACAGAAAGCCAGAATTTAGAACGGAAAAAGAAGGGGGAGGGAGGTACCTGTCCATTGAGACTCAGTGGGCTGGGAGTGTACCATACTTAGCTTTTGACGTACAAATGAGGTGTGAGATTCAGGGAAGGCTGGCTTTATAATGTGACATCTAGTTAATGTGTTTGTTCAAGTTCAGAGAACGAAAGCTCACGATACCATCTACATACCTTGTGAGTCTTTAAAGTACCACCAGACTATTAGTTGTTTTTTAAGTTTTTCCTGTTACAGACGAACTGCCCCTCTGAATGGTTTCAAATGTCACCTCAGCCCCTTTCGGGTGTTTTTCTAGCACCTTGACTGAGGCCTGGAAGGTGATTGTAAGATCACAGGAAATACCATTGTTCTGTTGTGTTGTAACCCTGAGCTAAGGATAGGTGAGCTCTCAGCAGAGGTCAGTAGGGAATCATTCAAACAGGTGGTAAAGGGTTTACACCAGTTGATCCAACCCACCATCTTCATACCCCGGAGACCTCTGCCAACAATTGCCGGGGCAAGTTTCGGAGTCCTTTTAATGACAGCCCACCCCCTGCCACACAAGTGAGAGCCGTGTGCCGATCCTGCCACCCGACCAGGACATGTTTGTGCCCACAAGGACAGCTGGTGAGTTCTAGGTGCCTGTGGTACCCAGACTCCAGGAATAATCTTCGCCTAGGGGCCCAGCTCCACAAAAGTTTGGGGCCGGGTCTCTCCCTCGGCCCCACCTGCCCCCTCCCCATGATTTAAAAGGGCTCCTGCGACTCTCACCCCTCCTGCACTCAAACTCCCTCGCGGAACCTGCACCCACTCCTGCACCCCAGTGCCCTGCCCCAATCCAGAGCCAGCACCCAAACTCCCTCCCTAAGCCTGCACCCTTCCCCCATCCAAACTCCCTCCCTGAGCAATAAGCAGGTGGGGGTGGGGGGAACTTGGACCCATTCTGGCCCTGCCAAAAATTCTACAAACCTGCCCTCTCTGTACCTGATGATCCCCTTGGAGCTCTGCCCAGGGGCCGGGGTTCCCCCCCCCAGGATCGGGCCCACGGAAAAGCAAGACCCCTCTCTCGAAAGAGAACTACCTGCCTTTGCTTGTTGCTGCAGGCAGCGGCAGGTCCCAGGCTATCAGAGAGATGAGGCTGGGGAGGGTGCCTGCTGGCGAGAGAGGCACCGGCTCAGCCCCTGTTGCGCCTGCGTGTGGTGGGAGCGTGGGCTCCTGCCCACGCTGTTTGCGCAGCGCTGGACATCAGCTTTGCACGGGGTGGGCGGGTCGCCCAGGAGCGCGGGGAAGCTGAGTCGCTGTTTCGAAAACCTTGCAGCTGAGCCGGGCACTCCCAGCTCATCCACCCCTCCGGCCCCGATCAGCTGCTCCGGGACCCGATGTCGCCCCCTAGAGGCTGGCATGGAACAAGCAGTGTGGGGCTCAGAGCCCCTGCCGGGCAGGTGTCTCCGTCCCCCTCCCCCTCCATAGCTGGGCAACCTCTGTAAAGACGCCCAGGATGGCATGAGGCAGGGGGCAGAGATCCTAGCAGGAGTGGAGCAGTGGATCACCCCAATG